TTAGAGTGTAGAACAGCAGCTTTCTCGGTTAATGTAAGTGGTTTGTGACAAATAACCGTATCAAATTCTGGAATATTGAATTGCACAAACAATATTTTTCTCTCTTTCTCATTGTGTAACTAGTGGTCGCCTCTAGAGCTCGATTCGACACGCCATGCAGGGTGAACCATTAGCCCACCAGCGATGAGAGCCCCAGATATTGTTTTATTGAATTTATTTGATTTAGTAAATATAGATATCATTTGCATCTGCATGCCAAAAGTCTTGTAGTGATTCTTTAGCGTCACGCTGCCGGTTTTATTGAGTTATTAACTGTATTGAAGCCAAACATGAGCTGGATGCTGCAGTTTGGTCGACTTTGAGAATATAACTATTTCTAGAAGAGGATAAATAAGTGGGAAATATTTCCGAAAATTTGCACAATCAATTTAAAAACAAGATGCGTGATCTGATTGTGTGCATGTCTGTCATACTTTACTCTGTACATTTTAAATATAATCAGTAATTCATGAGATTAAGTAAATGTCAGAAAATGACTTTTTCCCACTAAAAAAAAATTCCACAAATTAGTTTGGTATCATATATTGTCCATTGTTCTGTAATCAACATTATTGATGATGACATATTGATGTAAACAGTCAGGTACTTGTTAATTTATTTACATCTCATCACATCTGATGTTGAAGTAGAGTTCAGAAATTAGTGAAGGACTGGTGGAAGCTGTGTGGTTACTAGGGTATTCTAGATAGTTGCTAGGGTGTTGTTAGGTGATTGCTAGAGTGTTCTGGTGTTTCTTGGGGTGTTGCTATGGAGTTCTTATGTGTTCTAGATGGTTGCTAGAGTATTATGAGTGTTTATTGGGGTGTTGCTATGGAGTTTTTATGTGTTCTAGATGGTTGATAGAGTGTTCTGGGTGTTTCTATGGAGGTTGCTATGCAGTTGTTATGTGTTCTCGATGGTTGCTAGAGTGTTTTTGATGTTTATTGGGGTGTTGCTAGGCAGTTGTTATGTGTTCTAGATGGTTGCTATAGTGTTTTTGGTGTTTATTGGGGTGTTGCTAGGCAGTTGTTTTGTGTTCTAGATGGTTGATAGAGTGTGCTGGTGTTTCTTGGGGTGTTGCCATGCAGTTGTTATGTGTTCTAGATGGTTGATAGTGTTCTGGGTGTTTCTATGGGGGTTGCAATGCAGTTGTTATGTGTTCTAGATGGTTGCTATAGTGTTATTGGTGTTTATTGGGGTGTTGCTAGGCAGTTGATATATGTTCTAGATGGTTGCTATAGTGTTTTTGGTGTTTATTGGGGTGTTGCTATGCAGTTGTTATGTGTTCTAGATGGTTGATAGAGTGTTCTGGGTGTTTCTATGGGGGTTGCTATGCAGTTGTTATGTGTTCTAGATGGTTGATAGAGTGTTCTGGGTTTTTCTACGGGGGTTGCTATGCAGTTGTTATGTGTTCTAGATGGTCGATAGAGTGTTCTGGGTGTTTCTATGGGGGTTGCTATGCAGTTGTATGTGTTCTAGATGGTTGCTAGAGTGGTTTCTTGGGTCTATGTTGTTGTTAGGGCGTTTCTAGGTGTTAATGTGATTTTTCTAGTCCAGCAAGACTCATCCCAAGGCGTAATATACTGACTCTTTTGCCAAAGCGTCTATATCCAACGCACATGGCACCCTTTAGCGTCATATGAGACGCAGATATATGGCGCCTCCTAGTGGTCTAACCCTAACACTACCCCAGACCTAAACCTACCCAAAACCGAAGCGTGTTATATTGACGCTAAAGGGTGCCATATGCGTTGGATATAGACGCTTTGGCAAAAGAGTCAAAATATTACGCTTTGGGATGAGAATGCGTTGGCAAGACACATGATTTGAGGAATCATTCATGTCTGGACCACTAAAGCTTCAGTACGATGCACACACTGACGTTTCATATGGGTTTGTTCAATCATTAACTCTCAGTATGAGTAAAATAATAGTTATTTTTGATTTAGTAGAGTATTAAAATATGCCCTGAACAGCTTGAACTAATATGGAGTTGTCCTGAAGTCAAACATAAGGAACTGATATCTTTGGCTACGTCTTGAGAATAAACTCACACACACTCTTCCCATTGTCCAGACTTTAACCACAGGACGCGCTCTTTCTGGGAATAGACTGTCTATGTTTCGTGTCTCTGTTCTGATGGGAAGTTTTGGACTCTTTTCACAGAATATGAGATGATTTATTAGTCCTGGTGACGGAGATCAGCGTGAGTTCTCAGCACCGCCACCGGAACCGCAGAGATCATGCGTGTGGTTTGATGACAGTCGCGGTTCTTGGTCATCAGAGAGTCACAGCAACACGTTATGTGTATCTCTTTAAGGATATGTTAAGAATATACAGGTGAAACTCGAAAAATTTGAATATTGTGCAAAAGTTCATTTATTTCAGTAATTCAACTTAAAAGGTGAAACTAATATATTATATAGACTCATTACATGCAAAGTGAGATATTTCAAGCCTTTATTTGTTATAATTTTGATGATTATGGCTTACAGATATGAAAACCTCAAAATTATAACAAATAAAGGCTTGAAATATCTCACTTTGCATGTAATGAGTCTATATAATATATTAGTTTCACTTTTTAAGTTGAATTACTGAAATAAATGAACTTTTGCACAATATTCAAATTTTTCGAGTTTCACCTGTATATTAAGAATATATTACAACCTTGATATTTATTAAACAGCAAATCTCACAATTAAATATCGTTATAATTCAGACATTTTTGTATTATATTTCGCATAAAGAAAAATAAACATATTTTTGGGGCCATTAAGATTTATTTATTTATTTTAGCCAATGACAATTAAGGACATTCTCCTCAAATTCGTATAACTGTAATGCAAATAAATTCTCATTACCGTAATGCAAAATATATTAATACTTTTTAATTATTATTTTATGTGAGCATAAATTAAATTAAGTGTAGCAAAGACTTGATGTATTGCAAATACTATAATTTTTGTAATTATTGTATGTATCTTTAAACAATATATCATTGCATTATTTTTGTAATATATTGCATGCAGTTTTTCACTACAACATGCTAAAGTTTTGTGTTCTTGAAGCTTGACAGATGTCATCCCTCTACAAAAGAGCTGCATTAAGAGTCAATAATGACAATTTATATTTTTGGGTGAACTATTTTTAAAAATATATGTGTTCTTGTAAATGTTACTGCATTAAAGGGTTAAATGGACAGAGCGAGGAGCTTTCGGCTGGCAGAGACACGAGGACGGGGGAAAACAAGGCAAAGTGAGGCAAATATTTGAAGAAGACTGGCGTACAGGATGGGAGGGCGATTAATGGCTTTTATATCCTTTCCTAAATATCCCTCTTTACCTCTAAAAAAAGACAAGTGAAGAGATAGAAAGGGATTAATGGGTGACTAACCTCGCCGTTAAACCCACGGAAAAAAAGAAAGGATGACGACGTTAGAGATCCAGTTCCATTACTGAAGTATTAATAGAGACCAGTATTGCTCCTCATTCTCAACCAATGATGTATTAATTATACATTTTATCAGCCAGTGTCCAGGATTAATATGAACATGTCTGGCAGAAAAGTGTTTTAAAGCTGATTTGATGCTTTTCAGCTGCTCGTGCACGTGAGAAAAATACAATACAGAATGCAAATAATACAATGCAACTATAATAGCACAATAAGTAACTTCATTAATAATATGCTTCCAATATCTTTTTGTGTTTAATGTCAAAGATAATGTATCAGTCCATGCATGGCCTTTATCTTCAAAACTCATGAATAAAACTGCACAAGGTAAAGAAATAATGAGTAAACTGTTTATTTTAAAGGGCTTTTTGTGGGTAACATTGAGAAGCTGAGAGTTATCAAATGATCCATAAATTATAAATTCTTAAATTGATGCTTTAGCCACAGTCCGGTCGTATGCAGCCTTGCTTGTTTTATTGTGTGTTTTCTAGTTTTCTCTTGTGCTGATTAGTTCAGATGAATGGCAGGTTTGGCAGTCACACTTAAAGCTTCTGAAGTTTTTTGCACATTGTCTTGATGAAACTGAACGCTTGCATTGCCTCAACACACGCAGGTCGCGTAACACTAACTGGAAGAATGTGTTTAGGGACGCTAATAACAAATCCGCCTCAGTTTATACGTGCTTTTCTGTTTTCTTGTTAGATCCTTTTGTCAAATGTGCTTCATGTGTGAAGTGTGTGATTGATTTATTAATCAGAAATCCTGTTTGCACTTTTCTAGAACATTTTGTTTAGTCTTTGTCTGAGACAGCGACAGCTCTTCCCAACAATATTTCACACAGGATTCCTCTATTTCACACAGGATTCCTCTATTTCACACAGGATTCCTCTATTTCACACAGGATTCCTCTATTTCACACAGGATCTTGTGATGCTCAGCTCTGATATATTGAATCGGCTGTAGATGTTGTTCTTTCGTTCAGTAAAACTTTCTCACAAACTATAATGAGTTGTGGTTGGTATAAAAAAGTCAAATCTGTCTATCTATCTATCTATCTATCTATCTATCTATCTATCTATCTATCTATCTATCTATTTATCTGTCTGTCTGTCCATCCGTCCGTCTCCATCTATCTATATATCTATCTATCTATATTCATTTAAAAAATATATATATATTTAATGTTCTTTTATTTTAGAGTGAAAGATGACCTGGTCAGGTGTTACAGTGTGAGCATGTTTATGGTTCTGTACTGTATGGGAATGTGTCAAGGCAGATCTTCACATACAGCAGACATTAAGAGGGGTGTTTTCTCCCGGGTCCGGTGGGCGGAGGGTTATCTGTATGTTCTGTAACTATAGGACTGAATTGAGCAGCTGAACACCGGTGGGTTTGGCTCCAAGTGCGTGAAATCCGAGGCGGGTTTAAAAGGCTTTGAGCAGAAGCACAGACAGTCGAGGAGAGACACTTGAAGATCAGGGTTGCGCGCATTAGATAAAGTACTAATAACCTGTAAGAGCCTCGGGCAAACGCACAATGGGGATAGTTAATGATTCAACCCTTGTGGGATTTACATATCCATCATTTTGGTTACTTACACAGATATTTAATCAGTAATTTTTTAAGAGTAGCGCGCAACAGGACACCGGCGTTTCCATTTACGCACGGAAAGCGCGCGCATTTTAACGCGTTGGACTGCTGTTGTTTTTGACGAGGCTGACAATGGGACACCCGAGCAACACATCGCACCCGGTTAACTCATCAGACCCGTACGGGCGCGACGAAGAGGTCGCCAAAATCGAGATCGCGGTCCTCAGCGTCACCTTCGCGGTCGCCGTGATCGGGAACTGCAGCGTCCTGGTGGCCATTCACAACACCAAGAAGAAAACCTCGCGAATGCACCTGTTCATCAAACACCTGAGCCTGGCCGATCTCGTGGTCGCGTTTTTCCAGGTCCTTCCACAGCTCTGCTGGGAAATAACCTTCCGTTTCTACGGGCCGGACTTTCTGTGCCGGATCGTGAAGCACCTGCAGGTGATGGGCATGTTCGCGTCCACATATATGATGGTTATGATGACTCTAGATCGATACATCGCCATCTGCCACCCTCTGAAAACCCTCCAACAGTCCACCAGGAGGTCCCACATCATGATCGGGGGCACGTGGATCAGCAGCCTGGTCCTCAGCACCCCTCAGTACTTCATCTTCTCCCTCAGTGAGATCCAGAACGGCTCTGAGGTGCTCGACTGCTGGGGCCACTTCATCCAGCCCTGGGGACCCCGCGCGTACATCACCTGGATCACAGCTGGGATATTCCTCATCCCGGTCATCATACTAATGACCTGCTACGGATTCATATGCCACAGCATCAGGATGAACATCAGATATAAGACCAAGAAGACTCCGACGGATGGCGCGCACAAGAACGGGCTGATCGGGAAGAACTCCGTGAGCAGCGTCACCACGATCTCCAGAGCGAAGTTACGCACCGTCAAGATGACCTTTGTCATCGTGCTCGCGTATATCATCTGCTGGGCGCCGTTTTTTACCGTGCAGATGTGGTCGGTGTGGGACGAGAACTTCAGCTGGGCTGGTGAGTGAACCTCACCTACGTGTTGGGAAACATCAATACAGTATTAAATATGCAGGCAGAAACACATGTTTTCCACATGTGAAATCACTTGGATTTCATATGGAAACTGTTCCAAAACCACATGTTTCCCATGTGCGCAGTGTGTGTTCCACATGTGTTCGGGCTATAATCGTGCATTTACATATTATATTTCATGAACAACAGATTAATGCACATTCAATAAGAGTTAAAAATGTAATGCACATTTTATTTTCATACATATTTATATTTAACTATACAGGGTAACACTTTATAATAACTTTCATTTAATTTTAATATAATATTTAATTTAAGAAAAAACATGTTGTATAATGCTTCAGATGCATTTTATAATTACTTTAATGTCATTAAATATCTTATGTAGAATTAACAAAGAGTAAAAATGTCCTTATCTTGTTCATATTTGCATATAGATTAATACTGGATTGCACAAGTGAAAATGTGCAGTTATCTTATTTCTACCTGATATGACCCTAAATATTATGCTGAACACATACAGTATATATTAATACTACAACTTTGGTGTTTCTAATATATTTTTGTAGTCTGATAAAAGTGTTATGCTCAATTACATATGTTTTTACATTGCTTTAACTCATCAAAATAAGTTAAGCAATTGTCAACTTTTTTCATAAGTTAGCCTAAGATTCCACTCATTTCTTTTAAGTCAGTTTAATGTTGAAAACGACTAAAACATCCAAAGTTGATTGAACTGAGAAAAATGTAAGGCAGCAACTCTTGCATCTCTTTTCAGAATCATTTATTTTCTGTATCAAATTTAAACAGAAAACATATTGTAATCATGAGGCATTAATGTGGTAGCATAACAAATTTTAACCTAAAATCTTAATAAAAAGTGCATAGTGTTTTAATATAATAAAATGTGCACCAGTACCTTCAAAATCACAGCAGTGTGTGAAGTTTAATGTGCAACAAATGGCTGCTAATGGAAAGAAGTGCTAATGCGTTAAATATAGTCTCTCTGATATGATTATATCTTTGAGAAATGAAGTCATGAGACCAGAATAGAGCGTCCAAGCAGAACATCTGCAGAGGGTTTATGATGTGTAAATCTGTCATACATGAGGTTATGGGATGTTTATATAACCCAATTTCACCCCATCTTCACCTATTAGTTCAAGACAAATTGCTTCAATCGAAACAAATGAGTTATTAGTTTAGCCATAATTATGTGTACTAATATCTGGAAATGCAGTTCTAAAATAACACCCGTTTTAAAAAATGACTAAAAACTTGATTTATTTTTACATATATTTATATATTTTTAAATCTCTTTGACTCTTGAAAAATGACACTGTGTAATATAATTATTTTATAAAGCATGTAGTTCCGCCCCTGGATGCTGATTGGCCAATGCAGTGACTTTAGAATCTGATTGGATGATGCATGTTCTAACATGTTGATACATTGTTACATTCTATATTAATTGCCATTTCTGTATGTTGCTTGTCAGCAGAGAGATTAATGAACCGTGTCACTTGTGGAAAGGATTATTTTGATTATTAACATTAAAAGGACATCGGTGTATTAAAGCATTTAGCTCCAGGTATTGTTGATACAGTCAAACCAAAAATTATTCAGACACCAGATATCATTTTGGATATGGGTGCAGGACACTATAGTTTATTTTAAGTATTGTAAGTAAACTGTGACATATTACACCCAAAAATTCCAGTAAAGCAGTAAAATTTGTAAAAATTTGGGAGCAAATATTATCCAGACACTTTGAGCTGATCATGTTTTCTTCAGTGTGTTTTCTGTAACTGCTAATGCTCTTTTTACACACAGACTGAACAACATGAAGCATTGCTTGGTCACTGGTTGAGCTAAACTGGTATTATCTAATTGTGGAGTTAAATTTAACAGCTGACAGATATTCAACATAATTCGTGTGTGAGAGTCTAACAGAAGGACGGACAAAACCAGTCAAATATCCACTGAGTTCTGCTCATATTTTATTACCATTTTCAGCGAATGAACTGTGATAATGTGAGAAATGTTGAAGGTGTGTGAATAAACGCTGGTTTGACTGTGTGTGTGTGTGTGTGTGTGTGTAGATTCGGAGAACACGGCGGTCACTCTCTCTGCGCTGCTGGCCAGTCTGAACAGCTGCTGTAACCCGTGGATCTACATGGTCTTCAGCGGACACCTCCTGCACGACTTCACACACTGCTTCCCCTGCTCCCATCAGATCCGGCAGAGCTTCCGGAAAGAGGACTCGGACAGCAGCTTACGGAGAAACACACTGCTCACCAAAATCACCAACCGCAGCCCCACGTGCAGCTCGGGAACCTGGAAAGATCTCGATCAATCCCCTAAATCTGACCGATCGGCTCCGGCTCCGGCCGGCACGTGATGATGATGCCCTGGGAGTGTGACTTTATAACCATACTTTATTGATAGTTCGATAATGACTTCATTGTTGATCAGCACTTTGGTGAGACTCTCACAGACTCTCACGACGAGCCGAGCTCTGGATGAGCGCAAATACACCAGTTTCATTAAAGGGGTCATCGGATGCAAATTTCACTTTTATATGGTGTCTGCATAAACATGTGTGTTTGCAGTGTGTGGACACAACCACCATACAATGGAGAAAATCCATTCACTCCTTTTTTATCCTCAAAAAGCCTGAACACTCTCAATAATCAAGCCATTTAGATTTTCTGAGCAATATGACGTCATATTGCTCATGCTCCGCCCACGACCGCTGACGGGCTATCCCGTATTAGCATATTCCCCGTATTAGCATATTCCCCGTATTAGCATATTTCCAACCTCAGCCATTTGTATTAGGTCCGCCAAAGCAGCACTTTACATGTCTGGAGGGGCAGTTGCTTATTATCATTTAAAGAGACATGCACCTCATCATTTAAAGAGACATGCACCTCATTATCATTTAAAGAGACATTCACCTCATTATCATTTAAAGAGACATGCACCTCATTATCATTTAAAGAGACATGCACCTCATTATCATTTAAAGAGACATTCACCTCATTATCATTTAAAGAGACATGCACCTCATTATCATTTAAAGAGACATGCACCTCATTATCATTTAAAGAGACATTCACCTCATTATCATTTAAAGAGACATTCACCTCATTATCATTTAAAGAGACATGCACCTCATTATCATTTAAAGAGACATTCACCTCATTATCATTTAAAGAGACATGCACCTCATTATCATTTAAAGAGACATTCACCTCATTATCATTTAAAGAGACATGCACCTCCTTATCATTTAAAGAGACATGCACCTCATTATCATTTAAAGAGACATGCACCTCATTATCATTTAAAGAGACATTCACCTCATTATCATTTAAAGAGACATGCACCTCATTATCATTTAAAGAGACATTCACCTCATTATCATTTAAAGAGACATGCACCTCATTATTAGCCTGGTTAAAACCAGACCATTCTCAGTTGTAACTGAGATATGGTCTGGCAAAGCGTCATAGACAAATCATTTCCAGAGGGGCGTCACCAACGGACGTCGCGGATAGACCTAAACCCAATCAGAGCGATGAAGGAGATGACGTATGCAGAGCGGCGGAGAAACATCTCCGAGTGTTGTTCTTTGCTCGGTTTTTAACAAATAGGAAACTTTCAAATCGCTTGAAACACACGCGATAGCTGATTCGAACGAGTGATGTTCGACGGCGGCATCCATCTTTGTAATGTAGGCTACAAAATCTGCTTCAAAACCCCAGCGCTGTCGTCATCGTGTAAAGCCCGCCCCAACGTTTCTGATTGGTGCCTCGATTTCGACGGATTGGAAATGGGCTTGAATGAACTCTTTGCCAGACTAACTTTCAGAGCAAATCTAAATTTGCCGGAAGTTGTCTGGGTTTTCCCAGGCTACCTCATTATCATTTAAAGAGACATGCACCAAAACGGGGCGAACAGCTGTTTTTGAGGAGGTAAAGGAATTTTTGAGGAATTTTATCCAAAGTATGTTACAAACTTTACATGAAGACCCTAAAGAATCACACCAACTTGTGGAAAATGGGCATCCGACGACCCCTTTAAAACTAAACAGAGTCATCCAGTAAGAGTACAGAGCTGTGAGATGAATATATGGAGAACAGCTCGGATCATTTGATGAGAAATATTTGACTTTTTATTGCGGCCAAGCACAGTTTGAGACATTGTTGAGATCTCTTCGGAAACTTTCTGAAGTCTGTCTTTGTCTCGACTCCAGCTGAAGTCTTCACTGCTGTCGTCAAAGAGAAGTTTGGAATTAATACGTTTTTTTTAATGTTTTTGTAATAAGTCTCTTCTGCTCACCAAGGCTGCATTTATTGGATCAAAAGTACAGTAAAAATTCAGAAAAACCATTTAAATCAGCTGTTTTCTGTGAATATATGTTAAAGTGTAATTTATTCCTCTGATCAAAGCTGAATTTTCAGCATCATTACTCCAGTCTTCAGTGTCACATGATCCTTCAGAAATCACTCTAATATGATGCTTCATATTTTTGTGGAAACCGTGATACACTACCATTAAAAAAAAATACTTTTCTTCACAAAGGACGCATTAAATTGACAGTAAAGGCATTTATAATGATTATAATGCGACAAAAAAGATTATATTTAAAATAAATGCTGTTCTTTAGAACTTTCAAGGAATCCCGAAGAATGAAAAGTATCACCGTTTCCATAAAAATATTAACTGTTTTCAACTGATAATAATTAGAAATGTTTCATTAGAGTGATTTCTGAAGGATCATGTGACACTGAAGACTGGAGTAATGATACTGAAAATTCAGCTTTGATCACAGGAATAAATTACACTTTACTATACTCACTAAAAGCTATTTTAAATTGTAAAATATTGCACAATTTTTACTGTATTTTTGATCAAATAAGTGCAGAACAGACTCTTTCATAAAACGTACCAGTAACGTATTTTTAATTTAAATGTATCGATGTTTATTGCATTGAAACATAAGGCACTTGAGGTTGTGTTACAGTATAATGCGAATATATTCACGCCGCCGCATGTCATGCTTAACAACTCAATATCTAACCTCTCGCGCCGTGTTGCTTATAGATCATTGTCTATTATGGAAACAGCGGGAACATGGAAAACGCAGTAAATCTCCTCAGGGACTTCGGCACAATGAGTCCTGCGAGGCATTTCCTGAGATAAGCGTCTACTCAAGCCTGGCGCTCGGTGTGTTCTGGCCCAGATTACCCGCACCTCGTGCCAAAGTAAAGCAGACTGACACCTGCTGCCACACACACACACACACACACACACACACACACACACACAGGGCGAAATATAGCACTTTCAGGAAAATAAATGAATGTTGCACTAAATAAACCACAGGAAACGGTCTGCTTTATGAAATATTAACGTCACTTTGGCGGCATGAAAGCTTCCGGGCATGACCCGTATCAGATTGCTCTTATCAATGAATGTTTTTAGATGCATGGCCAAGCACGTCTTTACTGTAGCCCGATCTCACGAAAGTGCGTATCTATAGCACGAATTTAATTTATCGTCCCATTTTTACGCCAAAAATAGTTTGTGCGTGCATGATACGCACTTTATGGCGTGTAAGACACCCGCACTACACACCACTAATCTTACAGTGCGTATCATATGCACGCAAAACTATTTTTCGCGTATAAATGGTACGAGAAATTAAATTCGTGCTATAGATTCGCACTTTCATGATCTGTCAGGTTTAGGACTCTTTTCAGGTGTTTTAATGTACATATGCTAAAATATTCCAGGCTGTTTATCTATATATTAAAGTTATAAATAAATGCACATCTATAACAGGATATCTTATTAAAATTTTGGGTAACACTTTACAGTAAGGTTTATTAGTTAATATTATTTAATGTATTACCTAACATGAACTAATCATGAGCAATACATTTGTTACAGTATTTGTTTTATCTTTGTTAATGTTAGTTAATAAAAATACAGCTGTTCATTGTTTGTTCATGTTAGTTTACAGTGCATTAACTAATGTTAACAAGATTTTAATAAAGTATTAGTAAATGTTGAAATTAACATTAATGATTAATAAATGCTGTATGTGCAGTTCATTATTAGTTCATGGTAACTAGTTAACTAATGTAAACTTATGAACCTTACTCTAAAGTGTTATCAAATTTTGTTTACGTGCGTTCAGGTTTTGTTAAAGTCGATATTGAAATGCGTTTAGGAAACTTTAAATGTGTTGTACCACTCACAAATGTCTCAGTGTATCTATGTGCCAAATACAATAAATCAAACCTTCAAGAAATATTAGTTCTGGATCTGTGGCGAGAAATGTGTTTTTAGCAACCGAGCCGTTTCTAGCGCTGCCCTTCAAATGCAACTTTACACACACACACACACACACACACACACACACACACACACACAGCTGCGAGTTTAACTGGCTTTTATTAGCATTTTATTGTTGTACAAGCGTGACTGAAATGCTTTCAGAAAGATATTGTTCCAGTGTTTTGATGAAAGATCAATTTCTGCTCTATTACAAGCACCAAATGAAAAACAAAAAGTGTAGGCCTACTAATGACTATAATATTTCTTCTTTGTACGTGTTTGTGCAAATGCAACGCCAGACTCTTCATCACAGTGCAGATTGCCTACTAGGATCCTTTCCAAACATCCCATAATAGCTCGAGAGTTTCCTGTTTGTTTCCTGTTTGAGGACGCATGTTCTCTCTCCAGAACTAACCAACCTTTCTCCTTTCCAGTCTGTGAGTCCAGAGACAAGACAGCTGCGGTCTGAGTGTGTGTGTGTGTGTGTGTGTGTGAGAGAGAGAGAGAGAGAGAGAGAGAGAGAGAGAGAGAGAGAGAGAGAGAGAGAGAGAGAGAGAGTCTTTGTGTGTTTGTGTGTGTGAGAGAGAGAGAGTATGCGTGTGTGTGTGTGTGTCTGGTGTGTGTGTGAGAGAGAGAGAGAGAGAGTGTGTGGGTGTGTGTGTGAGAGAGAAAGAGAGAGTGTGCGTGTGTGTGTGTGTGTGTGTGTGCGCGCGTGTCTGTGTGTCCGTATCTGTGTGTGTGTGTGTGTGTGTGTGTGTGAGTGTGTTTGTGAGAGAGAGAGAGAGAGAGAGAGAATGTGTGAGTGTGCTTGCTTGTGTGTGTGTGTGTGTGTGTGTGTGTGCGTGTCTGTGTGTGTGTGAGTATGTTTGTGAGAGAGAGAGTGTGCATGTGTTTGTGTGCGTGTGTGTATGAGTGTGCGTGTTTGTGTGCGTGTTTGCGTGTGTGTGTGTGTGCGTGTTTACGTGTGTGTGTGTGTGTGTGTGTGTGTTTACGTGTGTGTGTGTTTACGTGTGTGTGTGTGTGTGTGTATGTGAGAGAGAGAGAGTGTGA